TAAATGCCATGATATACATACACATATATCTAGCTATAATATACAAAAAGTTCTGCTGGGATTTTTATCTGGATTGTATTAAATTTATAGATCACTTGGGGGAACTGGCATCTGGACAGTACTGAATCTTCCAGTCCATGAATGTGGTATGCCTGTTCATGAATGTGGTATGCCTATTTAGTTCTTCTTCATTTCCTTCTTGTGTGTTTTGTCCCTTTTAGCATACAGATTCTGCACATACTTTGGTATATTTATACCCATTTCATTTTTTGAGCTATTTAATGTCTTTATAAAAACAGGCATAACTGATATGTAATAAACAGTACATATTTTTTCTTTCTTAAAACACCCAAATGTTTTTCCATAAAACTGCACAGATTTAAAGTATATGATTTGATAGCTTTGGCGTATATGTATATATACGTAAACCGTTATCAAAATCAAGATAAAGAGCATATCTACTACACTCAAATGTTTTTTTATGTCCCTTTGAACTGTCTCCCTCCCAACCTCTCCTTGCCCCTGTATCCCAGAAAACTGATTTATTTGCACTTTAAAAAAGATTTATGTAGGTTTTTTTTTTTTTGTTTTTAAGATGGGGTTTCACCATGTTGGTCAGGCTGGTCTTGAACTCCCGACCTCAGGTGATCTGCCCGCCTTGGCCTCCAAAATGCTTAAATTACAGCCACCTCGGCCGGCGAGCGCGCTGGCCTTCACCTTCGTTGCGCCACGGCGGCTTTCGTGCGAGCCCCGGACTCGCGCACGTGTTAGACTCCTTGGTCCGTGTTTCAAGACGGGTCGGGTGGGTAGCTGACATCGCCGCCGACCCCGTGCGCTCGCTCCGCCGTCCCCCTCTTCGAGGGACACACGCATGGCCCGAGAGAAACCGACCCCCTGGGACCGACCCGCCCGGGGCGCACTGGGGACAGTCCGCCCCTCCCCCTCCCGCGCGGACCCCCGTCGCACCCAGCCAACATGTAGTGGTTTTTTTTTGAGACAAAGTCTTGGTCTGACACCGGGGCTGGAGTGCAGTGGCAGGATCCTGGCTTACAACAACCTCTGCCTCCCAGGTTCAAGTGATTCTCGTGCCTCAGCCTCCGGAATAGCTGGGATTACAGGCATGGGTCACCATGCTCAGCTAATGCAGCATGTAGTCTTTCACTCAGCATAATATATTGAAATTTGTCGATATACACACAATAACATGGATACATTTTAATATTTAATTAAAAATTTTTTTTGATGAGTTGTATGCCATCATATTCACTGACAGTCTTTGTCTATTACAAGTAAAGTAGCTATGAATGTTCATGTACAATAAGAAATATGCTTTTATTTTTTTTGGGTAGATACCTAGGAGTGAAATTATTAGATCATATGGTAAGTGTGTGTTTATCTTTTATTTTTTAAGAGAAAGGGTCTTGCTGTCTTACCCAGCATAGAGTAGAGTGGCGTGGTCATAGCTCACTGCAGTCTCAACCTCCTGGGTTCAAGTGTTCCTCCTGCCTCAGCCTCCCAAGTAGCTAGGACTTCAGACATGTGCCACCATACTCAGCTAATTTTTGAATTTTTTGTAGAGATGGGGATTTGCTACATTTCCCAGGCCCAGGCTGGTCTCCATCACCTGGCATCAAATGATCATCCTGCCTTGGCCTTCCCATGTGCTAGGATTATAGACATGAGCCACCAGGCCCAGCCATGTTTAATATTAAAAGAACTGCCAAACTGATTCCCAAAGTAGTGTATAATTTCGCTTTATTTTTATTTTTGGAGACGGAGTCTCGCTTTGTCTCCGAGGCTGGAGTACAGTGGCATGATCTTGGCTCACTGCAACCTCCACCGCCTAGGTTCAAGCAATTGTCTTGCCTCAGGCTCCCAGGCTGCTGGGACTATCGGTGCATGCCACCACATCAGCTAATTTTTTGTATTTTTAGTAGAGACAGGGTTTCACCATGTTGGCCAGGCTGGTCTCAAACTCCTGACCTTATCATCCACCGGCCTCGGCCTCCCAAAGTGCTGGATTACAGGCATGAGCCACCACACCCGGCCACCACGTATCAGTCTTTTTAATACTTGACATTCTAGTAGATGTGGTTTTCATCTACATTTTACCGGTGACTAATGATATTGAACATGTTTTTTATATGCTTATTTATCATCAATATATCTTCTTTGTTGGGGTGTCCAAGTCTTTTGACTATCTTTAATTGGTTTGTTGCTTTTCTTATCACTGAATTTCAAGAGTTCTTTGTTTCTCCTGGTGTCTTCATCTTCTCAGATTGCCATGACAACACACCATAGACTGCGTGGCTTAAATAACAGAAATGTATTTCTCACAGCTCTGGAGACTGGGAAGTCCAAGATCAATGTGCCGGCTGACTTGGTTTCTGGCGAGGACTCTCTTTCTGGCTTGCAGATGGCCAGCCACCTTCTCATAGTGTCCTCACATGGTGGACAGAGAGTTCTGGCATCTCTTCCTTTTTTCATAAGGACAGCAAATCAAATTAGAGCTCCACCTTTATGACCTCATTTAACCTTTATCATCTCCTCAGAGGTTCTGTCTCCAAATACAGTCACACTGGGTGTTAGGGCTTCAACATACGAGTTTTAGGGGAGACACATGCAGTCTACAACACCTGGATACAAATCATTTTTCAAATATATGTTTTACAAATATCTTCCCAGTCTGCAGCTTGCCTTTTCATTATCTTAATAGTCTTTGGAGGCCGGGCGCGGTGGCTCAAGCCTGTAATCCCAGCACTTTGGGAGGCCGAGGTGGGTGGATCACGAGGTCAAGAGATCGAGGACCATCCTGGTCATATGGTGAAACCCCATCTCTACTAAAAATACAAAAAATTAGCTGGGCATGGTGGCGCGTGCCTGTAATCCCAGCTACTCGGGAGGCTGAGGCAGGAGAATTGCCTGAACCCAGGAGGTGGAGGTTGCAGTGAGCCGAGATCGCGCCATTGCACTCCAGCCTGGGCAACAAGAGTGAAACTCCGTCTCAAAAAAAAAAAAAAAAAAAATTAGTCTTTGGAAAGCAGATGTTCTTGATTCTAAGTCCAATTTATCAATGTTTTCTTTTATGAATCATGCTGTTGGTGTTATATTTTAAAAACCTTTGCCTGGTGAAAACTCACAACGTTTTTAAAAATGTTTTCTTTAGTTTGATAGTTTGATTGGCTGGGTGTAGTGGCTCACCCCTGTAATCCCAGCACTTTGGGGGGGGGGAGAAAAAGAAGTCTGATAGTTTGATATTTCACATTTAGAGCTATGATCCATTTTGACTTTGTTGTTGTTGTTGTTTTTGAGACAGAGTCTCGCTCTGTGGCCCAGGCTGGAGTGCAGTGGTGTGATCTCGGCTCACTGCAACTTCCGCCTCCCAGATTAAAGCAATTCTCCTGTCTCAGCCTTTGGAGTAGCTGGGATTACAGGCACCCACTATCACACTTGGCTAATTTTTATATTTTTAGTAGAGATGGGGTTTCATCATGTTGGCCAGGCTATTCTCAAACTCCTGACCTCAGGTGATCCACCCGCCTAGGCTTCCCAAAGTGCTGGGATTATACGCATAAGCCACCGCACTTAGCAAAAGTTTCATCTTTTTGCATGTGAATACCCAGTCACTCCAGTATCATTTATTGAAAATATTATCTTTTCCTACTGAAATGCCTTGCAACTTCGTGAAAAATCAATTGACTATGCATGCGTACATCTATCTGTGGACCCTTCAATCTATTCTGTTGATCTAATTTTCTATCTGGACACCAATATCACATTGTCTTTATTAATATAGCTTTATAATAAGTCTTAAAAGCTAGGTAGTGGAAATTTTCTGACCTTCTTTTCCTCCTCCTCCTCCTCCTTCTCCTGCTTCTTTATTTTGAGATAGAGTTTCACTCTTGTTGTCCAGGCTGCAGTGCAATAGTGAGATCTTGGCTCACTGCAACCTCCACCTCCCAGGTTCAAGGGATTCTCCTGCCTCAGCCTCCTGAGTAGCTGGGACTGCAGGTGCATATCACCATAACTGGCTAAGTTTTAAGTTTTTTTTAGAGAGGGGTTCCCATTATGTTGTCCACTCTGGTCTTGAGCCCCGGGGCTCAAGCAGTCATCTTGCTTTGGCCTCCAAAAGTGCTGCGATTACAGGCATGAGCCACCATGCCCAGCCCATTTATGTTTTAGAGACAGGGTCTCGCTCTGTCACCCAGCCTGGAGTGCAGTGGTGTGATCACAATTCACTGTAGCCTTAACCTCCTGGGCTCAAGCAATCTTCCCACCTGGACCTCCTGGGCTCAAGCAACTCTTCCGCCTCAGCCTTCCAAGTAGCTGGGACTATACGTGTGCACCACCATACCTGGCTAATTTTATTTTTATTTTTTGATGCGAAAGTCTTGCTTTGTCACCAGGCTGGAGTGCAGTGGTGCATCTCAGCTTACTGCAACTTCTGCCTCCTGGATTGAAGCTATTCCTCTGCCTCAGCCTCCTGAGTAGCTGGGACTACAGGCGCACACCACCCTGCCCGGCTAATTTTTTTGTAGAGATGGGGTTTCGCCATATTGGCCAGGATGGTCTCAAACTCCCGACCTCGTGATCTGCCCACCTTGGCCTCCCAAAGTGCCAGGATTATAGGTGTGAACCACTGCGCCTGGCTGCCTGGCTAATATTTTTCATTTTTGTAGCAATGGAGTCTCACTATGTTGCCCAGGCTGGTCTCTTAACTTCTCAGCTCAAGTGATCCTCCAGCCTCAGCCTTCCAAAGTGCTGGGATTACAGGCATGAGCCACTGTGCCCAGACTTAACATTTATTTTTGTTCACAGGTCTACAGGTTGGCTGGGTTTCTTCTGCTCCAGGCTGGACTGGGCTTGGCAGATGAGAGAGGGACTGATGAATGTGTGTGTAGCAAGCTCAGGGGTCCACTGGGGTTGGGGGCTCTGCTTGGCTCCATGGGCTTCTCATCCTCCAGCAGGCTGGCCCTGGTGTATGCTCATGGCTGAGGCAGGAGTCCAGAGAGAAAGTGGACTCCATGAACAGCTTCACTTCTCCTGCACCCTGTTGACGAAAGCCAAGGTCAGCCCAGATTCTAGGAGTGGGAAATAGACTCCACTTCTTGGTGGGGAAAGGTACAGAGTCACATTTCCAAGGGCATGGATGTGAAGAGGGTTGGGGTCATTTTTTTTTTTTTTTTGAGACAGTTTCACTCTTGTCACCCAGGCTGGAGTGCAATAGTGTCATCTCAACTCTGCAACCTTTGCCTCCCAGGTTCGAGCGATTCTCCTGCCTCAGCCTCCTAAGTAGCTGGGATTACAGGTGCCCGATGCCACACCTGGCTAATTTTTTTTTTGTGCATGTGTGTATTTTTAGTAGAGACGTGTTTCACCATGTTGACTAGGCTGATTTCAAACTCCTGACTTGAGGTGATCCACCCGTCTTGCTCTCCCAGTGTTGGGATTACAGGTATGAACCTTCGCTTCTGGCCAGAAACCTCTTTTTTTTTTTTTTTTTAAATCAGTCTAACCCTGGAGCACCTTTCTGCTTTGGAAGTAAAACTGTCCAGGCTGTTAGACACAGACACCCCTCTCTTGGCTTCCTTCAAATTACTGAAAACAAGCCCTGCCCCTCCCCTACCCAACCAACCTACCAAAGACTGGCCAGCTCATGCTGTAGTCCCAAAACTTTTGAGGCCAAGGTGGGAGGATTGCTTGAGCCTAGGAGGTCCAGGCTGCAGTGAGCTGTGATCGCACCACTGTGCTCCAGCCTGGGTGACAGAGTGAGAGCCTGTCCTCCCAAAAAATAAAAATGAAAAAAAGTGCTTGTCTGATGTGCTGATGAAAAATAAAAGCAGATCCCTGGGGAATGGCCCTGCCCCTCACTCCAGGGCCACATCGGCTGTGCTTGCTGTCTGGGCTCTAGTTCTGCCACGAATCATCGGCTCTTTGAACAAGCCAGGCTCCCCCTCCCCCACGCCCTGTGCCTCCAGCTAACTCCTCCTTTACCTGGGTAACTCCTTTGTCTTGCTATTTTTAATTTTAATTTTTTTTTGAGACAGTTTTGCTCTTGTTGCCCAGGCTGGAGTTCAGTGGCTCAATCTTGGCTCACTGCAACCTTCACCTCCCGAGTTCAAGTGATATTTGTGCCTCAGCCTCCTGAGTAGCTGGGATTACAGGCATGTGCCACCACACCTGGCTAATTTTCTATTTTTAGTAGAGATGGGGTTTCTCCATGTTGGTCAGGCTGGTCTTGAATTCCTGACCTCAGATTTTCTGCTCACTTCAGCCTCCCAAAGTGCTGGGATTACAGGTGCAAGCCACCGTGCCCGGCCTTTGTCTCTTTTTTAATTCTACAAACATTTATTGAGCACCTACTGCATGCCAGGTCTTATTCTGGGAGCTGGGGATACAGCAGTAAATAAGATAGGCAAGTCCCCATCCTTGAGGAGCTCACAGCTTGACATTCCTTCTCAAAGTGGTTAAGCCCCCAGGATGCTGCAGCCTCATGGGTTGAGTCTGAAGCTCTGCCACGTAACTAGCTGTGGGCAAACATTTAGCACCTAAACTCTCAGCTGGGCACAGTGGCTCACCCATGTAATCCCAGCACTTTGAGAGGCTGAGGCAAGTGAATCACTTGAGGCCAGGAGTTGGAGACCAGCCTGTCCAACATAGTGAAACCCCATCTCTATTGAAAATACAAACAGTTGGGTGTAGTGGTGGCTGCCTGTAATCTCAGCTACCTGGGAGGATGAGGCAGGAGAATCTCTTGAACCCAGAAGGCTGAGGTTGCAGTGAGCTGAGATGGGGCCACTGCACTCTAGCCTGGGGCACAGAGTAAGACTGTCTCAAAAGTAGGTTCTCCTTGGTGCTCACCATCATTCTCCAGATCTCAGTTGTCCCCTTTTCTAGGAAGCCCTCTCTGATTGCCGCAGGGTGACTGAACCTATTCTGGAATCCCACAGCTTTTGGGCTTCCTCATGCCGGCCCTGAACACTCTGGGCTGTAGCTCTTTGGTAATGGGTATTGTCCCCCACTGGACAGGGAGCCTGGTGAGGGCAGGGACCAGGGCTTTCCTGATCCCTGCTCTGTCCCAAAATTCACCCAGCAGAGAAGTGTGCACGCAGCAGGCACTCAGTACACATATACTGAAGACCCGAGTGTCACCGACAGCTGCGGGGAACTGGGGCAATCCGTGTGTTTCTCAGCCCAGCGTCGGCGGCTAAGGAATTACTCGCCGAGGTCTGGAGGTCACGTGCCCTGCGAGCCTTGGAACCCGGGGGCCGGGTGGAACTCGGCGTAACAGAGCTCCCTGTGGTCGTGCCCCGTCTCAGAACCCGGTGCGGAAGACTCTCTCCTCGCACCAGGAGGGAAGGCGGGCGGACTCCCCCACCGGCGTGCCCGGGTCCCCCTGGGATCCATGAATAACCAGGCGCGGACCCCCGCCCCCTCCTCGGCCCGGACCTCAACGTCGGTCCGGGCTTCTACCCCGACCCGGACACCGACTCCAGTCCGGACTCCGACCGCGGTCCGGATTCGGACCCCCATCCGGACTCTGACTCCGTCTCTGGCTGGGACTCCCGCTCTGGTCCCGACTCCCACTCCCGCCCGGATCTCCCGTCTGGTCCCGACTCCTGCTCCGGCCCGGACCCCAACTCCGATCCCGACTCTGGTTCGGACCCTGACTCCAGTCCCGCTCCCAGCCCCCGCCCGGATCCCAGCGCCAGCCCCGGCCCCCGCCCCCGCCCCGGCCCCAGCCCCATCCCCAGCTCTGGTCCCGGCCGGGATTCGGGCCACGCTCCCCGTCTTGGACTCCTACCCGGCCTTGGCCCTACCTTGGGATCCGCCCCCGGAACCTGTTCCGGAGCCGCTTGTGTCAGTGTCATCCGAGGAGGACCCTGAGCCGGCCCCGAGCCTGAAGCTTGTCCCGTCGGTCTCTGGCGAGACTGGGCCCGCCCCGGGGCCCCTTCCCGCGTGCACCCCGCTGGCCACGAATCCACCCGAGCCCACGCTGGACTTCACGGCAGACTCGTCGGCCACTGAGCTGGCGGTTCCCACCATTCCCGGCTCTGTCCCTGCGCCTATCCTGGGGACCATCCCGTTGGCCGCCTCCTTACTGAATTCTACTGAAAGCTTCCTCTCCGCCAGTGAGAACTTCGCGCTGGACAAGAGGGTCCCTATTCGAGTGACCTACTGGTGAGGACCTCACACCCGCCTCTCCCAACCCCTGGGGACAGACCCAGCGGTGGGGGCTGGGGCTCCGGGACGTGGAGGTCAGGGTTGGGATAGGGCGAGGGGAGGGATTCGGGTAGAGCCCCAGAGTCCCAGTTCCCAGATTGGGAACTCACTCTTGTCTCTCATTCTCTTTGGGGCCGGAGAGCTTCAGGTTCAAATCCGTGCTTTGGATCTGAGCTTCATTTATTCATTCGTTTCTGAGTGCCCCGCCGGCTAACTGCCAGGCTTGTGCTGGGGATGAGGTGCTCAGCAAAGCGACCTGCTTCGCTCCCCAGCAAGACAAACCCAAAGACAGTGCTCATGTTGGGGGCTCTGGCTTCCCTTCCCAGCCTCTCTCACTTTGTCTTCTGTCTCTGCCCAGGCAGGCAGTCTCTCCCATTCTCTGTCTCCCCACCTCACTCTGTCTCTCTGTTTTGTTTTTGTTTCAGACAGGATCTTGCTTTATTGCCCAGGCTGGAGTGCAAGGACGGGGATCATGAGGGGAATCCCCATCTCTAGAAACCCTGTCTCTACTAAAAATACAAAATTAGCTGAGTATGGTGGTGCATGCCTGTAATCCCAGGTACTCAGGAGGCTGAGGCAGGAAAATCACTTGAACCCGGGAGGCGGAAGTTTCAGTGAGCCGAGATCATGCCATTGCACTCCAGCCTGGGCAAAAAGGGTGAAACTCTGTCTCAAAAAAAACAAAAAGAAAACGAAAAAAAAAAAAAAAAGTGATCTGGTATGTGAGGAGGTGATCAGTACACTGTGAACAAAAGGCATTTTTGGGGTTGCAGTTTTAGCTGGGGAGATTAGGAAGGCCTCACTGAGAAGGGGATATATGGGCAAAGCCCCCCAGAAGGAAAGAGAGAAGGAGTTGTGTGGATACTGCCCCGAGAGCATTCAGCTGAGGGAACTGCCAGTGCAAAGGCCCTGAGGCAGGGCATACCTGGGGTGTTGACAGATGAACTAGCAGCTAGGACTTAATCCCAGCACTTTGGGAGGCTGAGGTGGGTGGATCACTTGATGCCAAGAGAGTTCAAGACCAGCCTGGCTAACATGGAGAAAACCTGTCTCTACTAAAAATACAAAAAATTAGCTGGGTGTGGTGGTGGGCACCTGTAATCCCAGCTACTTGGGAGGCTGAGGCAGGAGAATCGCTTGAACCTGGGAGTCAGAGGTTGCAGTGAGCCAAGATTGCACCACTGCACTCCAGCCAAGGTGATGGAGTGATACTCCATCTCAAAAAAATAAAAATAAAAAACTCGAAAATTAGCCCAGTGTGGTGGCCTGCACTGGTAATCCCAGCTACTGGGGAGGCTGAGGTGGAGAATTGCTGGAAACCAGGAGGTGCCGTGAGCTGAGATTGCACCACTGCACTCCAGCCTGGGTGACAGAGTAAGACTCTGTCTCAGAAAAAAAAAAAAAAAAAAAAAAAAAGAGAGAGAGAGAGAGAAAGTTGAGCTAGGGGTCTCTGGCTGGCACAGGGTGAATGAGTTGGAGGAGAGTGGGAGGAGAGGGGACAGAGGGCTGAGAAGGCAGATCCTGTGGTGGCTTGGAGGCCACAGGAAAGACTGTTTTTTTCCCGTGTGAGATGGCACTACTTCAGGGTTATGAACAGGGGAGGAACATGGTCTAACTTAGGGGTTCATAGGGTGCCCTGAGCTGGGGACGATACTAATGCAGTGTCTTCCCTGGTCTCTCTCTGCCTTTCTCCTCCTGCTCTTGGCCTCCAGTGGCCTCTGAAGCTATAGCCTTCGGGTGAGTAGTTTTGGCTTTGGAGGTAGAGGAGCCTGAGGCATGAAGACTGGGAGGAGTCCCTGATTCTCCTCCCCTGCAACCCCATGACCCCATCTTTGCCCCTCAGTACATTCTACTGAAAAAGAGCCTGGAGCAGCGATTTCCAGATTGCCTACTCTTTGTAAGTGTGTGGGGGACTGGGAAAGACAGGGGTGGTCAGTGATCCGAGTCTTGGCCTCCCCCTACCCCCACCATTTCCTCCCAGGAGGAGGACAGAGCTGCTCAGGCTACAGGGGATTTTGAAGTGTTTGTAGATGGGAGACTGGTCCATTCTAAGAAGGTGATTCTGGGTAAGGGGCCGGGACAGGGAGCGGGGTGGTGCTGAAGTCCTGGGGGTGAAAGACCTGTGTGCTTTCTCCTCTTTTTGCCCAGAGGGGTGATGGCTTTGTGGATGAGGCCAGCCTGCAGAAAATTGTGAGCGTTATTGATGAGGAGATCAAGAAAAGGTAGCCGGCAAGGGGTGGAGCTGGAGGTGAGCTGTGGAGCTCTCAAGGCTGCAGTGGGAGGGGTGGGGGCAGGGTGGGAGGACAGGGCAGGGCACTGTCTGTCCTGTTCCTAGCTCAGCCAGTCCTCGCTGTTAGAATCATGACGAGACACCTACACACTTTTCTGAGCCTCAGTTTTCTCATCTGTAAGATGGGCTTGTTGTGATGATTCTATGAGACAACTCATACCAGGTAATAAATAGTACATGGCTCAGAGCAGGGCTCAGGATATTCCAATGGCACGTTTACTTTTTTTTTTTTTTTTTAAAGAGTCAGGGTCTCACTCTGTTGCCCAGGCTGGAGTACGATGGCTCCATCATAGCTCACTGCAGCCTCGACCTCCTGGGCTCAAGAGATTCTCCTGCCTTAGCCTCTTCAGTAGCTGGGACTATAGGTACATGCCAACATGCCTGGTTAGGTTTTAATTTTTCTTTTTCTTTTTTAAGAAACAGGGTCTTGCTGTGTTGCCCAGGCTGGAGTGCAATGGCTCATCATAGCTCATTGCAACCTTGAACTCCTGGGTTCAAGTGATCCTCCCCGCTCTGCCTCCCAAAGTGTTGGGATTGCAGGTGTAAGCCAGTTCCAGCCCATTTTTTGTTGTAAAGAGCTTCTTTTTTTTCTGAGATTGAGTCTCACTCTATCACCCAGGCTGGAGTGCAGTGATGTGATTTTGGCTCACTGCAACCTCCGCCTTCTAGGTTCAAGCAATTCTCCTGCCTCAGCCTCCCGAGTAGCTGGGATTACAGGAGCCCACCACCATGCCCAGCTAAGTTTTGTATTTTTAGTAGAGGCGGAGTTTGACTGGATAGGCCAGGCTGGCCTTGAACTGCTGACCTCAAGTTATCCGCCCACCCAGCCAAAGTGCTGGGATTATAGGCATGAGCCACCTAGCCCTGCTCTTTATCTTTTTTAACCTTTTAGTTGTAAAGCTGTGCTATCCAATAATAGCATGTACCTTGTAAGTTTGAAGTTTAATTAATTAAAATTAAGTACATTAAAAATCCAATTCCTGCCTGGGCATGGTGGCTCACGCCTGTAATCCCAGCACTTTGGGAGGCTGAGGTGGGAAGATCATGAAGTCAGGAATTTGAGACCAGCCTGACCAACATGGTAAAACCCCATCTTTACTGAAAATACAAAAATTAGCTGGGCATGGTGGTGTGCGCCTGTAATCCTAGCTACTCAGGAGGCTGAGGCAGGAGAATCGCTTGAACCCAGGAGGTGGAGGTTGCAGTAAGCTGAGATCGTGCCATTGCACTCCAGTCTCGGCAACAGAGCAAGACTCTGTCTCAAAAAAAGAAAAAAAAAATCCATTTTCTTACTTGCTCTAGCTACACTTTGAGTGCTCAGTGGATACCATATTGGATTGGTTTGTACTGTATTTGGTGGCAGATGCCAAACACAGGGCACAATAATAAAGGACGAAAAGTTCTGTTGGTGACATGGTGCTCAGGTATTAAAGTACATGCACGATAATTTATTAACTCTTGGTACTGGACTTTTTTTTTGAGATGGAGTCTGTCACACAGGCTGGAGTGCAGTGGCACAATCTCAGCTCACTGCCACCTCTGCCTCCCAGATTCAACCGATTCTCCTAACAGCCTCGCAAGTAGCTGGGATTACAGGCACACGCCTTCATGCCTGGCTAATTTTTGTATTTTTAGTAGAGATGGGTTTTCACCATGTTGTCCAGGCTGGTCTTGAACTCCTGAGCTCAAGTGATGATCCTCCTGCCTCTGACTCCCAAAGTGCTGGGATTACAGGCACAAGCCACAGCATCTGGCCACAGATTGTTAGTATTTTAAAGTATATTCTAGACCTCATGTTGTTTCACCTGTAAACACTTTCACCTGCATCTCTAATAGATAAATCTTTTTCCACCCGAGATGGAGTCTTGCTCTTTCTCCCAGGATGGATTGCAGTGGGTGCAACCTCCACCCCCTGAGTTTAAGCAATTCTCCTGCCTCAACCGCTGAAGTAGCTGTGATTACAGGTGCTCGCCACTGCCTGGCTAAGTTTTGTATTTTTAGTAGAGGTGGGGTTTCACCATTTTGGCCAGGCTGACACAAACTCCCGACTTCCTGATCTGCCCGCTTCGGCCTCCCAAAGTGCTGGGATCACAGGCGTGAGCCACCGTGCCCGCCGGTAGATAAGTTTTAAAACGGAAATGCAAGGACATTATCACACCTGACAAAACATTTAAAATGTCTTAATACTATGTAATACCCACCCAAGTGTCTCAGAAATAGCTTTTTACAACTGATTTGAGGAATCAGGATCCAAAGTTCACATGTTCTAATATCTGTTTTTAAAGAATTATAAGAAGGATTTTTTAAATCCCTACTGTATGCCAGGATCTTAGCAGGATTTTTTGTTGTTTTTTTTTTGAGACGGAGTCTCACTGTGTCGCCCAGGCTGGAGTGCAGTGGCGCAATCTCGGCTCACTGCAAACTCCGCCTCCCCGCCCCTCTCAGCGATTCTCCTACCTCAGCCTACCGAGTAGCTGGGATTACAGGCGCCTGCCACTGTGCCTGGCTAATTTTTGTATTTTTAGTAGAGATGGGGTTTTAACATCTTGGCCAGGCTGGTCTTAACTCCTGACCTCTTGATCCACCCGCCTCGGCCTCCCAAAGTGCTGGGATTACAGGCATGAGCCACTGAGCCCAGCCAGCAGGTTTGTTTTCTAACAGCCAAGCCGGAGTGAAGGGAAGAGGGAGACAGGGGTGAGGTCTGTTTCTCACACTTGCCAATATGCAGAATATGGTAGTGGTTATGCATATAGTTTCCAGGGCCACGGAGACTGAGGTTCAAATCCTGGATGCACCAGCCACACAGCCTAAGCAGGGTGAAGTTGATGTGAGGTAAAGAGCTTTCCAAAGACCTTTTTCAGTAAGTAACAGCTGTTGTTACTAGAATCAGGACGGTGCTGATTGTAAAAGAAAATCCTGCTCAAACCGGCTTTAGACATAAAAATATGGACACATGGGAAAGTCTAGGGCATAATTTTGTTGGTTTCAGGCATGGCTGGATCCAGGCATCAAAAGGGTGCTTTTGGGAATCTCACGCTTCCTTTAGTTTGTGCTTTTTTCCTGGGCTGGCTTTATTCTCAGTCCTGGTAGCATATATCCTGCAGAAGGTTCTCACTGGCCTACATTAGGTCACATGTCCATCCCTGAAAGATTGTGGTGCTCTCATTGGCCAGTCTTGAGGCATGGGCTCATTCTTGTGGCTTACCCAACACATATTTGCTGAGTATGTACAATGTGCTGATACTGTTCTAGGCCTTGGGGCTACAGCAGTGAACAAAACAAATACAAACCCCCGCCCCAGTGAAACGGATGTTCTATTCTGGGAGACAGACAATGAACAGGATACTTAGGTGAATAGAAGGCATTTGGCCTGGTGTGGGGGCTCACGCTTGTAATCCCAGCACTTTAAAGTTCGAGACCAGCTAAAAATACAAAAATTAGCTGGGCATGGTGGCAGGCGCCTGTAATCCCAGCTATTCCGGAGGCTGAAGGAGGAGAATTGCTTGAACCCAGGAGGCGGAGGTTGTGGTGAGCCAAGATCATGCCTGGGTGACAGAGCTAGACTCCGTCTCAAAAAAAACCCCCAAAAAACAAAAAAAACCCCGCATTTTAGGAGGTGATACCTGCTAAGGAGAAAAATCAATAGGGGTGGGGAGTCCTGAGAGTTTTTTTTGCAACTCTAAACAGTGTGCAGAGAAGACCTCATTGACAAAGTGAATACTTGGAATAAGTGAGGGATTGAATCATGTGGATATTCTGGGGAAAAGTATTCCAGGTGGTGGGAATAGCAAGTGCAAAGACCCTGGGGTAGGACTGTGTTCAGTGAGTTTGAAAAACAGCAAGGAGGCAGGGCACAGTGGCTCACACCTGCAATCCTAGCACTTTGGGTGGCTGAAATGGCAGATCATTTGAGTCCAGGAGTTTGAGACCAGCCAGGCCAACATATCGAGACTTGTGTCTACAAAATAATAATAATAAAGAAATTAGCCAGGCACAGTGGCTCGTGCCTGTAATCCCAGCACTTTGAAAGCCTGAGTTAGGTGGATCGCTTGAGCCCAGGAGTTAGAGGCTGCCATGAGCTCTGTCTGACTGGGCCACTGCACTCCAGCTTGGGTGACAGAGCAAGATCCTGTCTCTAAAAGAAAAAAAAATAATGAGGAAGCTAGAGTGGGCATTATAGTCCATAGAAAACTGTAGAACAGTGCCTGAGGCATGGTAAACCCTATATAAACACTTATTTTTACAGAGCTGTCATTGCTTTTGTTATTTTACATTTTTTTCTCTCTTCTCTCCCATCTCAGGAACCTCAGCAGGATGATGAGAAGGACTGAAATGTTGCTAAGTGAGGTCCTTTTCTGATGGTGGCTGGGGCTGGGGTGAGCTCAGGGAAGGGGAAGAGGAGAATACATACAGAGTCTGCCCCACTGTGTCCGGTCTGTGTCTGCCGTTGCCACACTCACCGCGGAGGTCAGTGGAAGTCACCTGCTGCACTGCTCCCAGCATCTCTGATATTCTGGCCCCAGGGGCGGGAGGGACAGGGAGCTTGCAATATGAAGCTAGTCCTGTGGCTCCAGCCCTCCATCTGCCTCAGCTCCTCTTGCTGCTGAGGCTGCTTTGTTTCTTTTGTGGCTTTGTCATTTCCCATGCCCTGGTTCCAGATACATTTTGAAAACTTTCCATCTTATTGGCATTTTCAGGGGTTATGAGGGAAACAGGGATGGTGGTTAGTCTCAAACCCTTGACACTCCAAACTCATTTGTGCTCCAGGACCCACTTTCTAAACCTGTAAGATCTATGTTCCAGCCTGGGCAACCTAGTGAGACCCCAACTCTACAACAAATACAAAATTAGCCAGGTATGGTGGTGTGTGCCTGTGGTCCCAGCTACTTGGGAGGCTGAAGCAGGAGGATGGCTTGAGCCCGGGAGGCTGCAGTGATCCATGATCATGCCACTGCACTGTAGCCTGGGCAACAGAATGAGACCTGTTTCAAAAAAAAGAAAAAAGAAAAAATTTAAACTATAGGTTTTAGAATCCCAGTGTGGTAGAGAGTGTCTCTGTGACCTGGGGCAGGGGGAGAGACATTTTCACATTGAGTGGACATTTATGGGCGCTCTACTCTGCACCTGCCATGGTGGGTTCAGTGGTCACATGCCAGGAGGTCAAGGGCACAAGCAAGGGGACTCAGACTTTACCACTTAATTGCTGTGTGACCACAAACAAGGGATGCCACCTCTCTGAGTCTCAATTTCCTCCTCCATAAAATTGACATCATAGCACTATTCAACTCATGGAATTTTTGTAATAATTATGCCTGGGAAGGGATTAGCAGAAGGCTTATTACAGAATTAGTAGGTTTCAGTTAGTAGTAGATTTTAGTTAGAAAACACAAATTCTTTTTTTTTTTTTAGATGGAGTCTGGTTCTGTCACCCAGGTTGGTGTGCAATAGTGCAATCTTGGCTCACTGCAACCTCCACTTCCTGGGTTCAAGCGATTCACCTGCCTCAGCCTCCTGAGTAGCTGAGATTATAGGCATATGCCACCACACTCAGCTTATTTTTGTATTTTTAATAGAGATGGGGTTTCACCTTGTTGGACAGGCTGGTCTCAAACGTCTGACCTCAACTGATCTGTTCACCTAAGCCTTTTAAAGTGCTGGGATTACAGGCGTGAGCCACCTCGCTGGGTCTGATCTTAACACCTCACAGGATAATATGCTGGCCCTGTACAATGATATGCTGGTAAGAGTCTGTGAGCAGGGTGCCTGATAAGACTGAGTGCTGGAGGGTAGGGGTAAGTCCCAGAACATATATGGAGTTTGTCTCAGTGAAATCTGTGTCAAGTGGTATAAAATATGAGATGATATTTCCTATGTGACATATACTTTCCGCCCCCTACAGTTAAGAAAAACACTTAGCAGAGATTCGCTTTTTTTTTTTTGAGACAGTCTGACTCTGTTGCCCAGGCTGGAGTGCAATGGCACAATCTCAGCTCACTGCAATCTCTGCCTCCTGGGTTGAAGCGATTCTCCTGCCTCAGTCTCCCGGGTAGCTGGGATTACAGGTGTGAGCCACTATGCCTAGTTAATTTTTTGTATCTTTAGTAGAGATGGGTTTTTACCGTGTCAGGCCAGGCTGGTCTCGAATTCCTGACCTTGTGATCCACCTGCCTCGGCCTCCCAAAGTGCTGGGATTATAGGCGTGAGCGACTTGCCCGGACTAAATTATTTAAAAAATATTCTTAACAACAACAACAAAAAACAAACAAAAAATATTTTTTTCTATTTCTTTTTTTTTTCCAGTAGCTCATCAGAATCAGGTGGAATAACAAAAAATATTTTTAATGCAAAATTGAGGTAGTGGGAAGGTAAGGGAACTCCTGGAGTCCAGAAATCTTATGGAAATATAAATCCAGAGGTGGCTGGTGTTGGAGATAGTGCTTGTGAGGAAATCTGCTAATTTTGATGGCGAGGAACCTGCATGACTCAAAATGTGAAGGGAAAAGACAGAACCCAAACCCAAGCAGGATAAGATGCCAGAATGGAGACCATGTGGCTGAACCCCAGGAGGCAGTACCCTCCAGTGGGTAGGTTGGGAAAAAAATGCCCCTACCACAGAGGTAGGCAGTGGGGGTAGTCTCCCCCTTGTTAGTGAGCAAATGATTGAAAGAAAGCCTTCTGTTAATAAGCCTGCACTCACACAAATGTGGGACCTAAATTCCTGCCATCTGACAAGTCTGAAATTTCATCTAATGTCTGGTTAGGAATGTTCCCAAGTACATGGCAAGATTAAACAGAAGTCAGCTAAGAAGATGCTGAACCAATTCTCAAGTAGTTCCCAAAGATAAAGTTCTGAGCAACATGAATTAGCTATTCAAAGGAGCTGGGCATGGTGGCTCACACCTGTAATCCCAGCACTTAGGGAGGTGGAGGTAGCAGGATGGCTTGAGGCCAGCAGTTCAAGACTGGCCCGGGCAACACAGGGAGACCCTGTCTCTACAATACAAAAATTAGCCCAGCGTGGTGGCATGTGCCTGCAGTCCCAGCTACTCAGAAAACTTGAGGCTGGAGGATTGCTTGAGCCCAGGAGGTCGAGGCTGCAGTGAGCCGTGGTTGTGCCACTCCACTCCAGCCTGGGTGACAGATTGAGACCTTGTTTCAAAGAAAGAAAAAAAAATTGTTAACATCAAAATCATTAAGGTAAAAAACAGTATTAGATATTGTCAGATAGTAGAGAATTTGGTTGGCCATTGTGTCCAGTTGCTGGGACTCTTTAAATCCTTGGCATTTCCCAAGTGACAGAGGTGTCAGTGTTAACATGGTGGGCCCCTTGGGCCATACTTGATAGTTTAGACTCGAAAGGTGACTAACAGTGCACTTCTTGTTTATGGTAATGAGTCAGAATGATGGCTGTCAGTGCCAGAAGAGCCACTATGAGATTATGAGAAAACTGGACTTTGAACTGTGGTATCAACTTGACAGTCTGGGAGCGGGAGGAAGCTGGAGATTGAGTTCAGTTCCATGACCAATGATCCAGTCAATCACACCTGCATAATACAACCCCAGTAGGTTGGGCACGGTGGCTCATGCCTGTAATCCCAGTACTGTGAGAGGTTGAGGTGGGCGGATTACCTGAGGTCAGGAGTTTGAGACCAGCCTGGCCAGTAGAGCCCCGTCTCTATTAAAAATAAAAAAATTAGCCGGGTGTGATGGTGCACATCTGTAATCCCAGCTACTTGGGAGGATTGAGTCAGGAGAATCACTTGACCCTGGGAGGTGGAGGCTGCAGTGAGCCGAGATCTCACTACTGCATTCCAGCCTGGGCAACAGAGGGGAGCTCTGTCTCAAAAAAAAAAAAAAAAAAAAAAAAAACGAGGAAGAAGAAAAATACCCCTTATACATAAATCTCTCCATATATAACTGAAAAAAACTCAAGATGCTGATAGAGGTATATGCTACTTTTTATATTTTTAAAAATTTATACCTTGTGATGCAAGTTAACAACCTTGATTTTAAAAGGGAGAATGCACTATATTTAGATTGATGTTTATTTGCATATGCATTAGAAAACTGTTGAAAGACATACAGCAAAAAAGCAAAACCAAGAAAACAACAAAATCCCAAGCCACAAGCAATGACACTTGTATGGAATAGTTTTGAGTTTGACAGAGGACAGCAATAAGAGATTCCTCACAGCATCTTTTGATACTTTTTTTTGGTTGAGTCTTGTGAATAGAATACATATTGTAGAATAAAATAAGCTTAAAATTAACAAAAAACAAGCTTATTCCCACAGCTATTAAATTGCACACAGACTTCAAAACAATGATCATATAATAAATACGTGGCTTTTCCTACTGAATATTTGCTATTCATCTAAAGTACCTCAGAAAATACAAACAAGAATCTTACACTAGGATTTGTTGACATGACATGACCACAAATTGTGAAATTTCAAAGTCCTCTCAATAGCCTTCCAATCCTAGTAACTCAGATACACCTGGATTCCTGACAACTGTTATTTGTTTTCTTTAATTACTTTGGCTCACTTTTATGAGTTCTATTACTAGCATTTTTTTCTTAGATCTTTGCAAAACCATCCTTTATGGTGAAACAATCTTGAAGGATTCTCCACAAATGCAGGAAAAAGCATTGCTAACAATGTGCTAAGTCAGAAGTGTCTTGGGACCTCTTTGAAAACAAGATTCGGCCAGGCGCGGTGGCTCACGCCTATAAAGTAATCCCAGCACTTTGGGAGGCCGAAGCGGGAGGATCGCTTGGGTCCAAGAGTTCGGGACCAGACTAGGGAACATCGCGAGACTCCCATCTCTATTTAAATAATATTAAAAAAGAAGAAGGAAAACAATATTCAACAGTCTTGTCTGTTTCCATTTCGCAGTGTGCTTTCTCCTTCAATTGCACATTGCCATATTCCCTTCCAGCTTGCATTCCCCCTAATGACTGAGTTAAGTCAGTTAAGCTGAGTTTAACTGACTCAGCTTAAACTGGCACAGCCTGTTCTTTTGATCCGAAAACAGTCACTTAGCTATTCCTTGCCACCAATCTCGTCATCACAGCCGACTCAGTCGGCCAGAGGACTGAGGGTCTCGGAGGCAGTCAGCGCTACAGCAAAGGCGACAGCCGCGAAGTCCATCTGCGGAGGATCCGCGTCAAAGGCAGCTTCCCTCGCCTTGCAGCCTTCCACGAACAGCCTGCGGCGTTCCTCGAAATCCCGTAGTAATCTGACCGGGATCATGGAGCTACCATCCAGATACTCGCGGAACAACAGCTGCTGGTTAATTCCTAAGAAACCGAGCTGCTGATGGGGGTCTGGGGCGGACGTCAGACCCGGGACGCCGCTGGGGATGGGCCCGGGCACAGGGCCCGGCACCCGTGCCATGGACCGCGCACCTTCGGCCACGGGGCCTTCCCCGGCCTCCTGCGCCCGCCCCCCGCAGCCGACTGCCCCCTGCAGTACGTCGCTGACGCCACTCGTTGTGCCCACCTGTGGGACGCTGCTGTCTCCGGGGAGCTCGGACATCTCCGACAGCCCAGTCGGCTCCGCCATAGTCTGAGCGTTTCTACGGAGATGGGAGTAACGGCACCTCGCTGCTGTATGCGGTACGTGCGCATGCGCGAATCTCGGTGTGCGCGTAAACGCTACGAGTGTGTGCGCATGCGTAAGCAGGGTGCGCGCTCCTCAACCGTCCCCTAGCGGTCCTGAGTGCCATTACTTCTGTAGCCGCCCGTCTTCTGAGCGCCTGAGGACCTGAGGACCATGTGATATTTTAAATTACAACCACTTCAATATTAATGTAAACTTTCTTATAAGGTCATTTTCCAGCTTTTTTTTTTTTTTTGAGTGGGTACAATCTCGGTTACTGCTGCCTTGACCTCCCGGCCTTAAGCCATCCTCCTGCCTCAGCCTCCTGAGTAGTTGGGACTGCAGGTGCGCACCACCCCAGCTAATTTTTTATTTTTTGTAGAGATTGGGTCTCACTGTTTCCCAGACTGGTCTCGAACTCCTGGCCTCAAGTGATCATCCTGCCTTGGCCTTCCAAAGTGCTGGGATTACAGGCCTGAGCCACTTGGCTTGGCCTATAAGTAATATTTTGGCACTGCAAGTTTGGGGTTTCCCAAAACCACCTTTAGGTTTGATAATTCCCAGAGCTCACTGAAATCTGTTATACTCAAAGTCATGCTTATTACAAAGGACACAGATTAGAAGAGATGTATCAGGCACAGTCTGGGATGGGGAGGGCTCCAAATATGAAGTTCCTGTGTCCCTAGGGACCTGTTCCCCTTTGCCGTCCATGTTCCGCAGTAAGTGCAGGGGTAGTGCCAACAAAGGACTCTTACCCAGGTTTTGGTGTCCAGAGTTTGTATTGGAGTTTCACTACACAGGCATGCTTGATTAAACCATTGCCCATTTTGTTGAAGCCAATCTCCAGCCTCCTACCTGATATCACATGGCTCCAAGCCCCAACTCTCTAATGATATAGTCTTTCTTGTGTGGCTAGCTTGATCCTGATAACCAAAAATGTGAAAGTTTATATTCCATTTAAAACCAGTCAGCTCTGGCTGGGTGTAGTGGCTCATGCCTGTAATCTCAGCATGGTGGGAAGCAAAGATGGGAGGACTGCTTAAGCCCATGAGTTCAAGACCAGCCTGGGCAACATAGTGAGACCCCTGTCCCTACCAAAAAAATTAGGTAGGCATGGTGGTATGTGCACCTGTAGTCGTGGCTACTCAGGTGAAAGAATGACTTGAGGTTGGGAGGTCAACTGTACAGTGAGCTATGATTGCACCACTGCACTCCAGCCCTGTATGACAGAGTGAAATCCTGTCTCAAAAAAAAAAAAAAATCCTTGGAATTTAACTGGAATCCAAATATGAGAGTTGCTGGCAATTGAACTTCATGAAAATCCATCTAAAAATTCTGACCTATCACAGGTCATGTCTGGAAGCTGATTGGGTTGGAAATTATTCTGACTCATGTGCACCTTGCTTTGTTTCTACAATTCTCTTGGAGAAATGGAGTGAGTTCTCCCACATGCGACATATATGCTTCAAAAGGCACATTTGAGCTATTATGCAGAAGACTCAAGAAAGGACTTCTTTGGAGGGTAACTTCAGATAGATAGCTTGGTTACTGGAGGGAATTTGTAATTATGAGTTAGCCGTAAAGTCTCCAAAATTCAGTGTGGTTTCCATTTTGAATGGCTACAATAATACACTGCTCAGTACCTGCAAGTCAAAGAAAAGAGGCCAGAGAAACTCTCTGGAAAAATAGAAAGATCAAGTAAAAATTCTTAAACTAAGTTTTAATGCTGATTCTCCAACTACTTTATTTTTATATTTTTGAGACAGAGTCTCACTCCGTCACCCAGGCTGGAGTGCAGTGGTGTTATCTCAGCTCACTGCAACCTCACCTCGTGGGTTACTGCATCTTACGCCTCCTGGGCTCAAGCAATTCTCCGGCCCCAGTCTCCTGAACAGCTGGGATTACAGGTGCCCACCACCTCACCCGGCTAATTTTTGTATTTCTAGTAGAGATGGGGTTTCGCCATGTTGGCCAGGCTGGTCTTGAACTCCTGACCTCAAGTGATCTGCCCGTATTAGCCTTCAAAAGGAAGTGCTGGAGGCTGGGAGCGGCGGCTTATGCCTGTAATTCCAGCATTTTGGGAGGCTGAGGCAAGCGGATCATGAGGTCAGGAGATTGAGACTGTCCTGGCCAACATGGTGAAACTCCATCTCTACTAAAAATACAAAATTAGCTGGGTTTGGTGGCATGTGCCTATAATCCTGGCTACTTGGGAGGCTGAGGCACAAGAATCGCTTGAACTCAGGAGGTGGAGGTTGTAGTGAGCCGAGATCGTGCCACTGCACTCCAGCATGGCAAGAGAGCGAGTCTCCATCTCAAAAAACAAAACAAAACAAAATTTAAAGAGATCATATTCTCTATTTGAAGGCTGAGAGAGTTTTTCTTCTGACAACACTTCTGACACCGAATATGTGTGGGATTTTCCACAATGATTCTCCAAAACAAACCGAGTGTCCCACAATTCCATTCTGACAACAACTATCTGCAGTTAGTGCAGACCCCACAGGACCCATAAGACTATGCCCACTTCAGATGCCAGCCACAAATGGAGTGCATAGGCTACCCACATTTCTACCCAGCCAAGTACAAATTCAGGAGTTCCCATGACCACCCCTCAGGTTTGATAATTTGCTAGAACTCACACAACTTAGTAAAGTGCTGTATTTACTAGTACTAGTTTAATTAATTAATTTCGAGACAGAGTCTCACTCTCTCGCCCAGGCTGGAGTGCACTGATGTGATCTTAGCTCACTGCAACCTCCACCTCCTGGGTTCAAGTGATTCTTGTGCCTCAGCCTCCTGAGTAGCTGGGATTACAGGTGTGTTACCACCACACCCGGCTAATTTGTGTATTTTTAGTAGAGACATGGTTTTGATATCTTGGCCAGGCTGGTCTTAAACTCCTGTCCTCAAGTGATCACTCAGCCTTCCAAAGTGCTGGGATTACAGGTGTGAGCCACCGCGTTCGGACAGTACTAGTTTATTATAAAGGATACAACTCAGGAAGAGCTATATAGAAGAGATGGATAGGGTGGGTGTAGGGGGTGCACATAGAGCTTCCATGCCCTCTCTTGGTGGGACTCTCCCAGCGCCTTGAGGTGTTCCATCTGGAAACTCTCAAACCCTGCTATTTAGGGGCTTTATGGAGGTATCATTGATAAGTCAGTTACCACTGGTGATTGATTCAATCTCTAGCACCTTGCTCCTCTCCCCTTACCAGGAGGCTGGGGATGAGGCTGAATGTTCCAAGCTTCCAGTGAAGCCTTGGTCTTTCTAGTGATAGCCCCCATTCTGAAGCTATCCAAGGGCCACCAAGAGTCACCTCATTAGAGCAAAAGATGTTCCTAACACACTATCACTCAGTTGATTCTAAGAGTCTTAGGAGTTCTGTGCCAAGAACAAGAAAGACCAAACATTGTATCTTTCTTATTATAGCACAAAGGCTATTTCTACTTTGAGGATCAATGATTTTCATCTGGTGTTTTCTCCTTTTGAAGCACACCTGTGACCCATCCAATGCATAATAAATCTCCGGAGGGATTTTTCTGTTTTCCTTGCAGAAGACAGTAGGTATGGGTAGATCTTGGCGACAGGGGAAGTAGGAACCATTTAGTCGTTGTAGTTACCTGACAGAGAACCACCTCCCACTTTCCTTTTTGTGTCTTTCGTTCAATCCCTGAGGAAAACAGAAACTTACCCACCATCCTAGTCATGTTCGCTTCAGAGCTGGGTGTCCAATGCCCATTTATTGGAAGGTTTCCCACATTCAGCATCTGCAGGTGGGCATTTCTCCAGAAGCAGATGAGTCTGGATCTCAGATATGAGGTCATATGTTTAGGTTTGTATAAAGAAATGGAATTCAGTTTTTTTTTTTTTTAAGAGACGGGGTTTCACCATGTGGCCAAGCTGGTCTTGAACTCCTGACCTCAAGCAATCCACCCACCTCAGCCTCCCAAAGTGCTGGGATTACAGGCGTGAGCCACCTCACCCGGCCGGAATTCAGTTTCAATGTGTATTTAATTCAAATTCATTTGGAATGTGTATTTAGCTATTCTAAGAATGTGTGTTGGTCCAGGAACTACAGATTCTTATATGCTGCCCCTCACAACTCCCAAAACTTTGCATGTTTAACCTCTGTAAGATTTCACCACTTAGAAGGATGTAGAATGGTTGGGTGTGGTGGCTCACACCTGTAATCCCAGCAATTTGGGAAGCTGAGGCTAGCGGATCCCTTGAGGTCAGGAGTTTGAGACCAGCCTGGCCAACAGGGCGAAGCCCCATACAAAAATTATCTGGGCATGATGCCACACGCCTATAGTCCCAGCTGTTCAGGAGGCTGAGGTAGGACGATCGGTTGAACCTGTGAGGTGGAGGTTGCAGGAGGAGTTTGGGGTAAATTGAAGAGAATAGAGTGTTGAGTAATATATGCAGGGTCCCACAGGTGGTCGAAGCCAGAACTTGAACAAATACAGTCTGATACCAGAAGTGATGCTCTTCACCCTCTTCCCGAATCCTCCTCCTCTGCCTCTTGAGAGTCCAACCCTGTTAGGCCAGTGCCCTTTAGTGGGAAGAGTTCATGATCTGAGTCAGATGGACTTGTAAACACTATCAATCCTATGAGCCTCCAGGCTCTTTCCTGGAAACATTAAGTGACAAAATACTTAACTAAGCTGTTTAGAACTGTGGAAGTCCAAGTATCATTCTTACTGTTTGGGCAACAACCACTTTTTCTCTAGACCTGAGTTCAGCTTCCATCAAGGGAAGGAACCCAAGATTTCTGTCTCTGGCCAAATACTGTAAGAACCCTCAGAAAAAGCCTCTCATGGCAACCCAATAAATAGAAGCCCCAGGCTGATTTCAGGAATCCAGGAAGAGTGTTTTGGCTTTGATATACTCATCATATCAGAGAAGGAGATGGTAAGGCTAAAACCAAGCTTCGCGAAGATTATTTTGGAGAGTTTTATCATCTAACACTTCTACAAGCTCAACAACCCCCTCTGTGATCGTTAAGTAGAAAGGCATGCAATCAAGAAAGTCAGGAAAGCCGGGCGCGGTGGCTCACGCCTGTAATCCCTGCACTTTGGGAGGCTGAGGTGGGTGGATCACGAGGTCAAGAGATCGAGACCATCCTGGTCAACAAGGTGAAACCCCATCTCTACTAAAATACAAAAAGTTTGCTGGGCATGGTGGTGAGTGCCTGTAATCCCAGCTACTCAGGAGGCTGAGGCAGGAGAATGGCCTGAACCCAGGAGGCGGAGGTTGCAGTGAGCTGAAATCGTGCCATTGCACTCCAGCCTGGGTAACAAGAGCGAAATTCTGTCTAAAAAAAAAAAAGAAAGGAAAAATGCTATATTCTAACTCAGTGAGGATTGGTTTGTCTTCAAAGAACCTAAAAATCTATTGCTCGTACCATGGGGAAAAAAATGCACAAAGTGGTGAAAGAGCTACTGCTCCTTGCCACCACCCCAGACACCAGCCTAGATGGTCCCCAAGAGAAATTCTACCAAACCTTAGATAATTCCAATGGATTTTTAAAGTGTTCCAGAACTAAGGAAATTTCCAAATTATTTATATGATGTAATAACATCACTATTTAAGAGAGAGAAATGCTGTACAAGAAAATGACACAGCAGCTTCACTTATGAACATGAATGTCCTTTAACAAAAAAGCACAGATCCAGTAGCACACTAAAATATCATTTCTGGCCAGGCGCGGTCGCTCATGCCTGTAATCCCAGCACTTTGAGAGGCCAAGGTGGGTGGATCGCCTGAGGTCCGGAGTTCAAGACCAGCCTGGCCAATACAGTGAAACCTCATCTCTACCGAAAATACAAAACTGGCTGGGCATGGTGGTGGATGCCTGTAATCCCAGCTACTAAGGAGGCTAAGGCAGAGAACTGCTTGAATCCAGCAGGCGAAGGTTGCAGTGAGCTAATATGCCACTACACTCCAGCCTGGGTGGCAGAGTGAGACTCTCTCTCTCTCTCAAAAAAAAAAAAAAATGTGTGTGTATATATATAATTAATTAATTTGAAGAATGCAAAGATCGTGTATTATTAGTAACTCTAAATGGTGGTAGATTTGAAACAATCCTAGGATTACCTTCACAGATTCTGAAAAGGTCTTTGACAAAATTCAACAACCATTCTTGATAAAACACACACAGACATACACACACAGCAATAGATAGCTATGTAAACATTTCTGTGAAATTGGTCTGGTGCGGTGGCTCCCATCTGTAATCGCAGCACTTTGAGAAACCAAGGTGGGAGGATCACTTGAGCTCAAGAGTTTGAGACCAGCTGGGCAACATGGCAAAACCCCATCTCTACAAAAACAGATTAAAAATTAGCCAGGCATGGTGGTGTGTGCCTGTAGTCCCAGCTACTCAGTAGGCTGAGATAGGAGAATCGCTTGAGCCTTGGAGGCAGAGGTTGCAGTGAGCCAAGACTGCGCCACTGCACTCCAGCCTGGGCAACAGAGTGAGACACTGTTGAAAGGGGGAAAAAAAAAAGATTTCCATGAAATCAGGAACAAGACAAGGATGCTTCACTATCTTCCAGCACTGTTTTAAATTAGATAGAAGGTATTAGCCAAAAAACTAATAAAGAGAAAGAAGCCAGAGGTATTAAAAATTGTAAAAGGGGCCAGGCATGGTGGTTAATGCCTCTTTTTTTTTAATTTTGTTATTTTTTATTTGTTTTATCTTTTGTTATTTTTTAATTTTTTGAGATAGGGTCTCACTCTGTCACTCAGGCTGGAGAGCAGTGCCACAATTTTGGCTCACTGCAACCTCCGCCTCCCGGGTTCAAGCGATTCTCCTGCCTCAGCCTCCCAAGTAGCTGGGACTACAGGCGCACACCACCCCGCCCGGCTAGGCTCATGCCTCTAATCTCAGAACTTTAGGAGACCAAGGCAGCTTAAGCACAGGAGATCATGACCCTATCCCTAAGGGGAAAAAAAAAAAAGTGAAAGAGGCAAAACCAAAACCATCATTATTTGCAAATGACTAATTCCTCAACAAGAGAATCATTTGAAAAACTACTATAAATAGTAAGACAATTCAGTATATTAAAGGAGGCTATCAAATAAATATGCAGACATCAATTATTTTCAAATACACAGGCAAGCTTCTATAATAGAAATATCTTCATGTACTACAGAAAAAACATGAAAGATCAAGTGTCTAGAAATAAATGACTAGACCTATGAAACATTAAGGACAAATATTAATGCTCTCCTGAAGAATACAAAGGAAGTCTTTTAAAAAATGGAAAAACTGCTAGGCATGGTGGCTCATAGCTGTAATTCCAGCACTTTGGGAGGCCTAGGTAGCTGATCATATGAGGCCAGGAGTTCAAGACCAGCCTGGCCAACATGGCAAAAACCCATCTCTACTAAAATTACAAAAATTCACCAGGCGTGGTGGTGGGCAACTGTAGTCCCAGCTATTCAGGAGGCTGAGGCATGAAAATTGCTTGGACCCAGGAGGTGGAGGTTGCAGTGAACCAAGATTATGCCACTGCACTCCACACTGGGTGACAGAGTGAGACTGTCTCAAAAACAACAACAACAACAAAAAAAAAACCCTGATCATTTAGATAAGAAGAAGACTCATTATCTAAAAGATAGCAATTACCCATGAGTTAATGAAGTGTAATATGATTCTAATAAAAATGCTTTGTTTTAAAATAAGGTAAGCTGACTTTGAGGTTGCTGTAGTTACATAATGAACAAAATACCCAGAAGCACTATGAAAAAGTATACTGAAAGGCTTTAGCATTACCAGATTTAGAACTAATTAGAAAATCTAAAACACAGTTTTTATATGAAAGGACATCTTAAAACAATTAGTGGAGCCAGGCATGGTACCTAGTACTTTGGGAAGCTGAGGCAGGTGGATCAACTGAGGTCAGGAGTTCGAGACCAACCTGGACAACATAGTGAAACACTGTCTCTACAAAAATACAAAAAATTAGCCGGGTGTGGTGGCATGGGCCTGTAATCCCAGCTACTTAGAAGGCTGAGGCAGGAGATTGCTTGAACCCGGGAGGAGGAGGTTGCAGTGAGCTGAGATCCTGCCACTGTACTCCAGCCTGGTTGACAGAGCAAGGCTCTGTCTGAAAAACAAAAACAAAAAACAGTTAGTGGAGAAAAGATGGACTACTTAGTAAATGAGGTTAGGGCCATCAGACAACCATCTAAAAAATAAATTAGATCCTTATACTGCACCTGAGAATAAATTTCAAATCGTTGAAAGATTCGAACATGAACAATGAAAACACACACACAACACATACACTACAACCTTGGGATTCAAAATACTGCAGGTTTATTTTTTACTTTTGAGACAGGATCTCACTTTGTTATCCATGCTGGATGCAGTGGTGTGATCTTGGCTTTACTGCAGCCTCAGCCTACTGGGCTCAAGTGATCCTTCCACCTCAGCTCCCAGAGTAGATGGGATTACAGGCGTGTGCCACTACGCCAGGCTAATTTTTCATATTTTTCAAAGAGACAGAGTTTTGTCATGTTGCCCGGACTGGTCTTGAACTCCCGAGCTTAAATGGTCTGCCTGCCTCAGCCTCCCAGAGTGCTGGGATTACCGGTGTGAGTCACTGTGCCGGGCCTACTGCAAATTTAAAGGAATATAGGCAGCAAAAATCACCATGGCCAAAAGCCTTTCCAAAAAGCCAAATCCTAATGACAAATTGTGAAAAAATATTCATAACTCATATCCCAAGCTGTTATTATACCTCGTATCACTAACACGAGTATCATAAATAGCTACTGGATTCAACGTAGAAAGGACAAAATTATCTGTCAGGAAACTGGATAAAGAATATGAACTAGGCACAGTGGCTCAAGTTTATAATCCCAGAACTTTGGGAAGCTGAGGCAGGAGGATCATCTGAGATCAGGAGATCGAGACCAGCCTGGCCAACATGGTGAAACCCTATCTCTACTAAAAATACAAAAATGAGCCAGACGAGGTGGCACACACCTGTAATCCCACCTATTTAGGAGGCTGAGGCAGGAGAATCGCTTGAATCTGGGAAGTGGATGTTGCAGTGAGCTGAGACGGTACCACTGCACTTCAGCCTGGGCGACAAGAGCAAGACTTTGTCTCAAAAAGAAAAGAAAAGAAAAAAAAAAGAATATGAACAGAGACTTTATGGAAAAGGGAATATGTGTGTGTGTGTGTGTCTGTGTGTGTGTGTATATATATATAACTCTTTAAAAGATATTTAACTGGCTGAGTGCAATGGCTCACACTTATAATTCCAGCACTTTGGGAGGCCGAGGTGGGTGGATTGCCTGAGGTCAGGAGTTCAAAACCAGTTTGGCCAGCATGGTGAAACCCCATCTCTGCTAAAAATACAAAAATTAGCCAGGCGTGGTGGTACATGCCTGTAATCCCAGCTCTCAAGAGGCTGAGATTGAGCCTGGGAGGTGGAGATTGCAGTGAGCAGAGATCGCACTACTGCACTTCAGCCTAGACAACAAGAGAAAAACTCCATTAAAAAAAAAAGATATTTAACTTCACTCATAATAAAATCAAATTAAAACTCATATACTGTTTTTTCAACTATCAGATTCATAAAAGCTGGATGACTGTTAGTTTAGTGTGTTGGCTAGGCTGTCATGAAATATCCTTGATCATCAATTGCCGGTGGGAGTGCAAAGCAGAACACATAGTGCTGCATAGCAATATCCATACAATTTTAAAGGAGTTCCTTTGGTCCAGAATTCTCACTTCTAGGGAATCAGCCACAGATATTACACGTTAAAAGAAATGTAGGTAGCTAATGATTATAAGACACATCATTAGTTTCATGAAAACCTAAGGAAAAAAATGCTGTATTACAGCATCAAATGTAAGATGCACCCATATTTCAGCTATGTTAAAATATGAAAAGTGCATTTTGAATTGAAGCAATACTATATTTGTACACCTGCCACATGATATGTGTACAAGATGAACTACTCCAGCAATTTTTTTTTCTCTCCAAAGAAATATATGGGAAACAACCTAAATGTCCATCAATATATCCCTGGTTAAGTAAATTTCAACATAATTTCAGAATGCAATAAAATGCCACTTTAAAAAATAATGAGGAAATACAGTGGTTTGGTAGGGTCGTCAAGATATGTTCTTAATGAGAAAGCAATGTATAAAGCAGTAAGTATTGTAAGTTGACTTCTGTGAAGAAGTAAAAACAAGTAAACCCAGACTTATAGGTGCCTGTGTACAAATAGGGAACCCAGAAGGATAGAAGGGAAACTGTGGCTATCATTAGAGGTCACGGTGGGGACTGGATGGAGGAAGACAAGAATGGAAGGCTTTTCACTGTATATTTTATATATTTTTTGGCTTGTAAATGGATTTTTTTATACTGAAAACACTTTTAAAATTAAAAATTGAGTGAAAGAAAAAAGTCCAGAAATTTGATGTTCTTGAAAACATGATTTATCACATAAGATGTACAACATTTACTTTGCTTGTCACTTGAAAAGTCTAAGAAAACACAAAATCAATCTTACACTAGATACTTCTATTGAATATGACATGAGGAGGGCACATATTCTGACAATTTCAAGATCTTTTCACAGCCTTCCAGTCCTAATAACTCGGCGTTAACGCCTTATTCTGTTCAGCACTATTTGATAATTTCTTTCATCCTCATGGGCTTAAGTATTGGTGATTTCTCATCAAGTCTCAATTTTATAAAATCATCCTTTACTTTGTAATAAAGCAATGTTGAGAGACATTTTCCATAACGCAGGGGGAAAAATGTGGATCAATCACAAACTCAACGAACGTTACAGTTATGGTACTTTCGACATTTTTTTCAATTTCTTCTGTAATGCTTTTTCATGATAAGCTTCCCTCTGTCTTTTTCCCCTCCACCTCCACCTGTGCACTGCCTTATCTCGATATACTCTGACTTCTGAAAATCAAGTTGCAGGATTGGTATGACTGGAATGCAGAGGTTCTCTTGTAGTGTCACCACGTAACTATTCTCTATTGATAAACTTATCACAACCAAGTTCTTCTATCAGAGGGTTGATAACTTCAGATGCAGTCAGAGCTATCGTAAAGGTTAAAATATCGAGGTCCACCCTGTGAGGATTTCGCTGATATTCGGCATCAAACGCTGCTTCCCTTGCTCTGCAGGCTTCCACGAATCGCCTGCGGCGTTCTTCAAGCTCCTGTATTCTGCCGGGAGCAATCGGATAATTTTCCAGATAGTGGCGGAGAAACTGCTGGTAATTGATTCCTAAAACGCTAAGTGGGTGGCGGAGGCGGAGATAGGGCAACGCAGCCAGGCCTCCATTCGCGTGCCTGGACCTGGGCCTAACCTCGGGACCCTCTTCGTCCACCGGCTCCCCCAGCAAGCGGGCGACCTCCGCCATCCTGGCTTCTCTGGCCGCCGCCGCCGCTGGGCTTTCCCTACCCGCCGCGGCTGCCCTGGCCACCACCGCCGCTGCAACCGGGGCTCCCCTGGCCGCCGCCGTCGGGGCTCCCCTGGCCGCCGGCATCCGGCCTTCCCTGGCCGCCGGCACCGGGCCTCCCCTGGCCGCCGCCATCGCGCCTTCCCCGGCCTCCTCAGGCTGCGCCGGGGCCGGCTCCCGCCTCCCGCGGCCTACCTCTGCCTGCGGGACGTCTCTGTCACCATTCGTCGCGCCTGTCTGCGGGACACTGCTGTCTGCGGGCAGCTTGGACATCTTCGACCGCGGGGTCAACTCGGCTGCTCCCAGAGAAACTGGAATAACGGGACAGCGCGATACCCGGTGGACACCCCAGTGCGCGTGCGTGAGCGCTGTGCGCACGGTAAACGCCGTGTGCGTAACCGGGCGCGAGAGCAGTTTCTACCGCAGACCCTGGGAGCAGTACGCATGCGTACTTTCCAGGCGCCTGCCGTTCTCCAGATACCCCCTCGAGGCCGGGAATCGCCAACGCACCTGAAACCGCCCAATGACGAAGGGCGGGGCCGTATTGGACATTACAACCTGTTTGATGTTTGTGAGGAACGCTTACAAGATCGCTTCTTGTAGGCGTTCTCAAGGTTCTGTCCTAGAGTGTTCTTCTTTGTTCTTCAGTGATGATATGCCATCCCTATTATAGATATTTTAGATTCATGGTCTAAAGATATTTTAGATTCATGGTCTTTTCTGGGTTTTTTAATTTTTTTCCATTCATTTCTTTGCCTGTCTTCACCCATTATGGATCGTCCTGGCTACTAAAACTTTATAATTATATTCTTTTCTTGTATTACATTGACTACTTTGGACATTTAATTTTCAAATCTTATTTGTGAAATACAACATGCAGAAAAGTAAACAAAACATAAATATACAGCTGAATGATTTATCACAAAGCGAACATCCATTTAACTACCACAGGCCAAGAAACGGAATATTTCCAGTATTCCAGAACGCTTCCTTTCCTTCTTATCACTATCCTCTCCTTTCTACCCAGAAATAGCTACTATCCTGATATTTATACTTTCTTGTTTCTCTTTTGATTTTACCATCTAAGGGTGCATTCCTAATGCTGTAGTTTAGTTTGGTCTGTATTCTGAACTTTATATATGCGAGAAACACACTTACCTGTCCAAACCCAAAGAATGGACTTAGAGGCACGAAGAACAGCGAAAGTGAGACTTTTAATAAAGACTTGCAAGATCAGGTGTCTGGTAGGTAGGCACGCCCAGGGCAGTCACAACAGGTAATTTCTCTCTCTCCTTTCCTCCCTCCCCTCCCCTCGCTTCCCCTTCCCTCCCTCCCTTTCTTTCTTTCTTTGACAGAGTTTCACTCTTGTTGCCCAGTCTGGAGGGCAATGGCACGATCTTGGCTCACCCCAACCTCCTCCTCCTGGGTTCAAGCGAGTCTCCTGCCTCTGCCTCCCGAGTAGCTGGGATTATAAGCATGTGCCACCACACCGAGCTAATTTTGTATTTTTAGTAGAGACAGGGTTTCTCCATGTTGGTCAGGGTGGTCTCGAATTCACAACCTCAGGTGATCCACCCACCTCAGCCTCCCACCTTCCTTCCTTCTTTTTTCTTTTCAGGGTCTCATTCTGTCACCCAGACTGAAGTGCAGTGGCGCAATCACAGCTCACTGCAGCCTTGACCTCCTTGTTCCCACCCTCCGGCTGCCTGGAGAATCATGAATTTTAAAACTTTAATCCTGTTCTGTGTTTTCCTGAGCTCAAGTGATCCCCCCACCTCAGCCTCCTATCTGGGACTACAGGTGTGCACTACCACACCCCGCTAATTTTTATTTTTTTTGTAGAGACAGGGTCTCCTTATGTTGCACAGGCTGGTCTTGAACTCCTGGGCTCAAATGATCCGCTTGCCTCGGCCTCCCAAAGTGCTGGGATTGTAGCCATGAGCCACCGTGCTTGGCCTCCAGCCTATCTTTTCATTACGGCTTACAAATACTTTATTTTCTTGATAGTTAATATATTCATTACCATTCTTTTATGGGTCTCAAAATATTAAAACATGAATCTTATGTACTAGCTCTCGAATTACTTTCTCTTTGTTCTGATTAACGAGAACAAAATCATTTGATTTGATTTTGCTGGTGGTGGTCCCTGTCACAACGCCATGATTCATGACCATCAGCAAATGATTTAAGTTACTCATTGTTCTTTGCCTCAGAAGTAGCTATTCTGAGGCAGTAAGGTCTCATCCATAGAGCACAAGACTGCATTTTAATTTTCCTGGTCCAAGCACCAAATTAGTAAAACACAACAGCTAGTCTACTTGCAGCTTCCCACCAGCATCTCTGCAATCACTAAGTGTGCCGCTCCTTTAAGGCAGCTCCCAGGCTAGGCTGGAGACAGAGCTATTGATCCCACCCTTAGGCCACCTGGAGAATCACAAAAAATTAACAAAGGAAGATCCAGACTTAGATGATAACATATATTATGACAGGAAGAAGTAGAAATCTAGTAACTTGCTGTAATCCTGAAGAAGCAGATATAATCTTGTTCTCTGGACTAAGAATCACCTTACAGCAGAAGCTGAAAGGCCCTCTGATTTTCCAAGAATAGAAATTGCTCTAAGTAAAATGGTGGTTTATTAGACTGAAGTGATATAAAAATGGTTCTAGGGGCCAGGCATGGTGGCTCATGCCTGTAATCCTAGCACTTTGGGAGGCCGAGGCAGGCAGATCACAAGGTCAAGAGATTGAGACCATCCTGGCCAACATAGTGAAACCCCATTTCTACTAAAATACAAAAATTAGCTGGGTGTGGTGGCACGCACTTGTAATCCTAGATACTCGCGAGGCTGAGGCAGGAGAATTGCTTGAACCCGGGAGGCGGAGGTTGCAGCAAGCCGAGATCGCACCACTGCACTCCATCCTGGGTGGCAGAGTGAGACTCCATCTCAAAAATAAAAATGTTCCTTGGGGAGGTTGAGGCGGGTGGATCACTAGGTCAAGAGATCGAGACCATCCTGGTCAAAATGGTGAAACCCCATCTCTACTAAAAATACAAAAAATTAGCTGGGCATGGTGGCGCATGCCTGTAATCCCAGCTACTCAGGAGGCTGAGTCAGGAGAATTGCCTGAATCCAGGAGGCGGAGGTTGCGGTGAGCAGAGATCGTGCCATTGCACTCCAGCCTGGGTAACAAGAGCGAAACTCCGTCTCAAAAATAAATAAATAAAAAATAAAAATAAAAATGTTCTTGTAAGTATCAGAAAGGGAAGATTTCTACCAGAGAGAACTTAAGTGCCCATAGAAGAGGTTTACACTTTGTTCTGAAGACATTGATGAGCTTCAAAAGAGGAAAGTGCCATAATCATCTTCTGACAATAGAAATCTATTGTCATTCATTAAACGGGACAATGAATGAAGGATAAGTGGGCATCACACCTGAGTCAACGTAAACTTCTTTTTTTTTTTTTTGAGACAGAGTTTCGCTCTTGTTACCCAGGCTGGAGTGCAATGGCGCCCTCTCGGCTCACTGCAACCTCCGCCTCCTGGGTTCAGGTAATTCTGCCTCAGCCTCCTGAGTAGCTGGGATTACAGGCACGCGCCACCATGCCCAGCTAATTTTTTGTATTTTCAGTTGAGACGGGGTTTCACCATGTTGACCAGGATAGTCTCGATCTCTTGACCTCATGATCCGTCCGCCTCGGCCTCCCAAAGTGCTGGGATTACAGGCGTGAGCCACCGCGCCCGGCCAACGTAAACTTCTCTGCAGTGTGGAGAGAAATCTTAACCTGGGAGTTGGGGGATGTCAATTTCACGGGCCCAGACACAGAGAGGATGCTCACAATGTGTGTTGAAGGGAGTACAGAAACGAGTGTCTGAGCACATGTGCCCAGTTATAACCAGAACAACTAAGCAAGACGTTGTTTCTTGTGTATCTCTTATGTTTCCTCCTATCTTCCTTGGCAGCTGCTATGGTTTGAATCCATGCCCCAAAGTTCGTGTGTTGAAAAGTTAATCCCCAATGCAGGTGTTTCAAGGTGGGGTCTATTAAGGGGCGATTAGGTCATGAGGGCTCTGCATTATAATCAGATTAGTAATGTCATTCTCTTTTTTTTTTTTCAGGTAGAAACTTTAAAATAACTTTTATGAACATAGAACATTTTATACTAACTGTATTTTACCACAATTATTTTTTTGAGATGGAGTCTTGCTTTCTTGCCCAGGTTGGAGTGCAGTGGCGCCATCTCAGCTTACTGCAACCTTGGCCTCCCGGGTTCAAGCGATTCTCCTGCCTCAGCCTCCCGAGTAGCTGGGATCACTGGAGTGCGCCACAAGGTTGGTTAATTTTTATATTTTTAGTAGAGACGGGGTTTCACCATATGGGCCAGGCTGATCTTGAACTCCTGACCTCAGGTGATCCACCTGCCTTGGCCTCCCAAAGTGCTGGGATTACAGGCATGAGCCACCACATCCAGCCAGCAGATAAATGTCCTTTTCATTGGAGTGAGCTAGTTATGAATGTAAGATTGCTGGCCGGGCGCGATGGCTCATGCCTATAATCCCTGCACTTTGGGAGGTTGTGGCGGGTGGATTGCCTGAGCTTAGGAGTTTGAGACCAGCCTGGGAAACACAGTGAAACACCATCTCTACTAAAATACAAAAAATTAGCTGGGCGTGGCGGCGTGCACCTATAGTCCAAGCTACTCAGGAGGCTGAGGTAGGAGAATTGGTAGAACCTGGGAGGCAGAGGTTGCAGTGAGCCGAGATCTCGCCATTGCACTCCAGCCTGGGTGACAGTGTGAGACTCTGTCTCGAAGGGGGCAGAAAAAGACCTACAATGATAAAATTCTTTGAAAAAAGAAAAAAACACACACGTATCTTCATGACGTGAGATTTGACAATGATTTCTTGGGTATGACTCCAAAAGCACAAGTAACAAAGGAAAAAACAGATAAACTGGACTCCCTCAAAACTTAAAACTTAATCAAAGGTCATTCTGGAAAAGTAAACACTCAACTCACAGAATGGAAGATAATTTGCAAATCAGATATCTGATAAGAGATTATGATCTAGAATAAATAGAGACCTTCTACCATCTAACAACAATGACACAAAAACTCTTCCAATTTAACAATGAGGCTCACGCCTGTAATCCAAGCACTTTGGAGGCCAAGGCGGGCGGATCACCTGAGGTCAGGATTTCAACACCAGCCTGACCAACATGGTGAAACCCCGTCTTAAAAAAAAAAAAAAAGACCAAATAACTTCAATAGACACGTCTCCAGAACAGATATAAAAGTGGCCAACAAGCACATGAAAAGAGATTCAACTTCAGAGTCACTGGAGACATGCAGAATCAAAACCATAGTGAAATAGCACTTCCTCCTCACTAGGATGGCTATTATTTTCAGACACAAAATAATAAGTGTTGTGAGGATGCAGAGATACTGCAACCCTTGAACATTGCTGTTGGGAGTGTAAAATGGTGTAGCTGCTGTGGAAAACTTTGTGGCAGTTTCCGGAAAAGGTTGCCATGTGATCCAGCAATACCACTTCTGTGTATACACTCAATAATTGAAGGAAGAGACTCACACAGATATCTGCACAGCAGTGTTCATAGCAGCAAGATTCATTACAGGCAAGAGATGGAAACAACCCGAATT